ATAATGCATAATTTTCCTAATAGATAGAGAATATTTAGTAAACTATACTTTCTATAATTATTTTTCTTGATAAGTGTAAAATAAATAAAATTAATATTTATTTTGAGACGAAAAAAATAATTATCAGATTTAAATTTACAAAATATAACTAGAAACTCTTTGATAAATATATTTTAATTTTTTTTATGTCAAATCAATATGAACTAAATAAAATAAAACATCTGCTACGAGTTTGTTATGCAGGATTTTTTTTAATTCCTGGAAGATTCTCTAGTGGCGTTTAAAAAGTCTTGAGGTAATATACAAGTTGTTCTGATAATCATAGAAATATATACAAACGTGCATGGTTTAATTTGTGTCTTTTTGTCACCAAATTTATCACAAACTTTTTGTTTGTTTCACTGGTTATGTCTACATCGTGTTACATGAGTTTGTTTCCCAATTAATATGAGTTACGTTGCGGTGTAATGGTCGATATGATTGTTTTACTTTTAATTAGAGGTTTCAGATTCAAGTGTTTGAGGGGGTTCAAGTCTTATTTATGGAAGAAAATCATATTGAGAGTGTCATTCCCAAATGGAATCGTGAGTGGTCGGTATGACTGTTTCACTCTTAATTAGAGGTTTTGGATTCAAGTGTTTGAGAGATTCAAGTCTTGTATAAGAGAGAAAATCATATTGAAAGTGTCATCCTCAAATGGACCCCGCAATGCAAATGCACGATTCAAATTTAATTAAAACTCCAATGATTTTAATCTAGAATTAGAATATATAAGTGAATTCACTATTTATTACTCCTTCTAGTTCATATATACGTGAATTATTGTGATTTTCTTATAATTCAAAAATCAAAATAAGTAAATTCTTTAAAATTTAAGAAAATTGTTGAGACTTTTTTCTATTCATCCTTTCTGTATTTAATGAGATTTTTAACAACGTTACATTTTATAGTTGAATAGTTTGGAAATATCAAAAGAATAATAGTGAAAATTAACTTTTAATTTTTTATCCTTAAAATATTTTTCGTTAAAAATATGTCACATCCCAACTATTCATTTAATATGGACCATAGAGAGTACTTCCATCGTTTTAATTATTGACAGCTGCATGTAAATTAACTTAAAGGTACTGTGATTAGTTAGCTAGTGGTAAGTTAGTAATTAATACTCCCTTCATTTTTACTTATTCATTTTACACGTTTACTAAGAAATAATGATTTAACTATAAGTAGCTAGCTAGCTAGCTACACTGTATTTTCAATACAACAATATTTGATAAAATTACTACATATTACTTCTTCTTCTTCTCTCATTACTCTATTATTGCACTTGAAATGAGTCAATGCAAATATGCTCTAAGTCTCCAATTTATTTTTATTATATAAAAGAGAGTAACTTTATATTGAAGGATGACTTTAAAATCTTCAACTAATTTAGAGTTATTTGAGTTATACAATGTTGTTGGGCTATTGCATCCTGAAAGATACAAGGCAATAGTTATATTGTTGCATTAATATAAATTATACCGCATTAAACTTAAATCTCTTTAAATAACGTGAAATATTCACACCTCAATCTAAATATTTATTTATTTTATATTTTAATTATAATTTATGATATATTCATCGATCCATCGTCATGTTAAAAGATGTTTGGTGGATCAAAGAGATATGTTAAGAGGGTCCCTATTTTTTCTAAGGATTGTGTTGCCCATATTATAGTAACATGTCATGTGCTAGCTTCAAACTCATTTGAAGGGTATTTTGATGTGTTGATTTTACAACACAACCCATGTGCCAAAGTAAACTAACGAGTTTTAGATCTAAGATGCTTTCTTCAACTTCACTTATTTTTTACTTTAGTTGAGTTCTTCACACTTATTTGAGACAAGTGTCTACTTTTGCATAAATGTCTTGAGAATCCCAAGAATGCTTTAAAGAAGCAATGAGTGAAATCAATAAAGTCTCATTAATGCCTCACTTGTGATTAACCATTGGGAGGTAAGTAGATAAGTTGCTCTTTTTGAAAAAACACATGCACTAATAAGATATATTTCTAAGGCAAGTTAGATTTGCTCGAATGGTTGAACGCCTGTATCATTAGATTAAGATAAATAGGGATTACATTAATCTTTTTAATAGTATGATGTGCGGAAAAAGAAAAGGAAAATAAGATACATATTTTTAACTTGAACTATGCTTCATTTCATTTTTACTTGTTCATTATATATATACAAATAATAATTTTTTAATATTGCAGAAAAATTAAGACCTACACTTCCCATTACAATATACAAGGGAGAACGTTTCGTTCGTAAAAGGCTTTTTTGATTTCCTTCACTTTTATCTTTTAAAGTTAATACGACAATTCATTATTACATTATTAATCTCCTCATAATTAATTTCTACATTATTAATGTTTATATAGATAATTATTGTAGCATTATTTGTGTACGAACCAAACGTCCCCTAAGGTGTTTATTACTTTAATAGGAAGTTTTAAACAGACAAAATGATGTGATTTTAGTTGATTAGTCCATTTTCTAGGTTTAGTAGGATTTGGCGGCAGGTAGTTGTTGAAAGCCATTAAGTCAATTCTTATGTCCTTCACTAAGACCAATTGCCAATTGTCATGCATGAAAAAGTTAGGCAAATTTTAGGATGCGTTCGGAAAAATAATTGAGTTTCTTACTTATTTTTTTGTGTTTATAGTATTTTTAAATTTTTTTATATATATAATCTAAATAAATATTATAAAAAGTGAGGAATGTGTGTCGGGGAAACGGGAGAGGGGGGAAGGATTAGGGATGTGGGGTGCGGTTGGGGGGGGATAAGAGTTGACGTGGGTAAGTAAGTGGGTTGAAGATGAGTTTTGTTGGAGGGTGAGAAAGACACAATTAAAGTAAAACTGGAACATCATCACATATTGAACTGACTTTTCCGATTTTAATTAGGAAAATTATTCTCATTTTCAAGATATTTTTTTTAATCAATCGAACATGAAAAAATTGAAAAATATCATCAACGGACACACCCTGCCCTAGGTTCACTTGGAAGCTTTTACTACACACGTAACAACTTTAAGATGTTGGCCAGTCTTGCTACCAACCTTTAATGATTATGAAATATAATCAATAAAAGAGAAAAAAAATTAAATACTACTCTATGAAAATTCAAACAAGACAAATGTTCTTTCCTTTTCTATTTAATAAATTTTGATTGTACAAAATCATGAAGACACCACTATCGTTATCGTTAAGGGTCACTCTTAGATTGATCGTGTGGTATAACTAATTTTAACAAAAAAATCTATACAAAATAATAAAATAGCCATTTAATTAATGCAATATTGGGTTGGCCCTATTTAATTATATATGTATTAGGTTATGTTGATATCTATAAATTGTTTTATATGTTGGCAGTGGATAGTATTTCATCGAAATTAATAATTTTTTTGTAAATTTTATTCTGTATTTATCTTAAACGATTCATTTTATATGTATAAATTAATAATTTAAAACCTTTAAAAAAAATTAATTCAAAACTCATAAACTTTAAACTCCGAACTCCTGAATAAAATGTTGAATAATGACACGTCCATTATAATGAAGATTAGATTTTAAGGACAAAAGAAATACTTATATAGCAGCAACTCATTATTGTTAATTACTATCATATAATAAATTTTTTCATTATTCACCACTATATAATAATACATTCATTATTACTTACGCCATAAATAATTCCTTCATAATAATTTTACATAATTAATTTGTAACTCAAGTGATCCTTAACGAAGAAACAACAATATTTTAATAATTAGAAAATTTGAATAGTTTAGTTGGTGGACTATCTAAATTTTGATCTTATCGGTGATTAATAAAATTCAAATCTCACATTATAATATATCTTCGATTTCTCGTTCCCCTTCTATTTTACTAATAAGTTTTTTGAACGTACCTGTTTTGTGTTTGACGAAAAGCACAAACTAATTAATAATAGTATTAGCAACCCCAAAATGTGGGATTTCCACCGATTATTAAATGTTAATCAACCGCCCAAAACATCGTTTTCAAATCTTTTCAAGCACCTCTAAGGTGTCGTTTGGTCGTAAATTAGATTAGTTATATATGATTTAGTTGTATCGAATATAATATTTATAAATTAATTTTATTATACTCAATAACAAAATTATAAAATATAGATGGACTCATTATTTTTATATATTTTAGTTATATTTTGGAAAATCCTTTCATCATCGGTTCAATTCTAATTCCTTCCACGTGATTAATTTGTATGTGTGATTAATGGCGGAGTAATCTTCTGTTAATTGATATTCTTTCGTTAAAAAATTACACTATTTAAGTGAATTATAAGTTTAGATTTTATGCATAAATTATAACATTTTAATTTTTGATATTTTGACACATTTTAATAAAATTATTGACTCAACTATTGTATGCGATTGTAGAATGATGATAACAATAATTTTGATGTGCTAAAGTTTAAACAAAGCAGTTACAAAGCTACTCAATAGAATATTAAGATACAATGCATAAGTGTTTTTTAACAGACATAATACATAAACATAACCCTTAACTTGACTTCAGCGAACAATTATGTCCTCCAACTTTGATTGTGCACAAGTAGACACTTAGACTTGTATAATGGTCCTACATGACATAATACACGTATGACGTAAAATTGCTATATAGGTGCCATGTAGGAAATATTTCAATTTTATACAAGTTTAAGTGTTACCTGTGCACATTCAAAGTTAAATGTCATAGTTGTCAGATGATGTCAACTTAAGAGTCATGTTTATGTATTATGCCTTCAATTATATACATGTTTGTATATTTATGCACACTAAAAAATTGTATAAAATTAAACAAATATGTGTCCTACGTGACACTGGACGTAACAACCATCCAAACAGAGGGTTAAAAACGACATCGTAACAAACTTTCAATATTGCTTAGCTTTAATGGCTATGACCATTTTTCACTTGAAGCCACCATCACCATAGAAATTTCACACAATACTCTCTGTCCCCAAAACTCAAACACTAAACTTTTTTCCTCTTTCAATTCACCATGAAATTACTTCTCTTCTTCTTCCTCACACCATTTCTCTTCTTCCTCAAATGTTCTTCCACAGCAAATTTCAGTACCCAAATTGCTTCACCAAGTTTGATTTTACCCCTAAAAACTCAAATCACATCTGGGTTTTCCGCACCAAATAAACTCCCATTTACTCACAATGTTACTCTTACTGTTTCCCTTTCAGTCGGTACGCCTCCACAGAATGTAACAATGGTGCTTGATACAGGTAGTGAACTCTCATGGCTACATTCAAATTCAACCCGAATTAAACAACCCATTTTCAACCCGAACCGCTCACTTACCTACAGACCCGTTTCTTGCTCCGAACCCACTTGCACGACCCGAACTCAAGATTTCTCCATCCCAGCTTCTTGTGATTCGAAGAATTTCTGTCATGCTGTGCTTTCTTACGCAGATGCTTCGTCTTCTGAAGGGAATTTAGCTATGGATACGTTTACGATTGGCGGGTCGAATTTTACGGGTACGATATTCGGGTCAATGGATTCGGGTTTCAGTAGTGATTCGGATGAAGACGAAAAGACAACCGGGTTAATGGGTATGAACCGTGGATCTCTATCTTTTGTTTCACAAATGGGGTTTAAGAAGTTTTCTTATTGCATTTCGAGCCTTGATTTTTCTGGTATTTTACTTTTTGGTGAATCGAATTTTACTTGGATTTTACCGTTAAATTACACTCCGTTAGTCGAAATTTCACTTCCGTTACCTTATTTTGATCGAGTTGCGTATACTATTAAACTTGAAGGTATTAAAGTGTCGAATAAATTACTTCCGATACCCGAATCCGTATTTATACCCGATCATACCGGGGCGGGTCAAACCATGGTTGATTCGGGTACCCAATTTACTTTCCTATTAGGTCCAGCTTACACTGCACTAAGGAGTGAGTTTTTGAACCAAACTATGAGAACTCTTAAGGTCCTTGAGGATCAAGATTTTGTTTTTCAAGGTGCAATGGACTTGTGTTATCGGGTACCTGTTAATCAAACGTGGTTACCTAAGTTACCATCGGTTAGTTTAGTGTTTCGGGGTGCAGAAATAACGGTTTCAGGAGAACGATTGTTGTATCGAGTACCTGGTGAAATTCGAGGGAAAGATTCGATACATTGTTTTACTTTTGGAAATTCCGAGTTACTACCGATCGAGGCGTACATTATCGGACACCATCATCAACAAAATGTATGGGTGGAGTATGATCTTGAAAAATCTCGGATTGGCTTTGCTCAAGTACAATGCAATATAGCGAGTCAAAGATTTGGTTTTTATCGTTGAAAGTTATATATAGTTCGAGTCAAAAATAGCAGAGTGGTTCTATCGCGGCCCTAATGATAACCAATGGAGATGGTGGAAAACATGTCATGTGATAAATGGATTTTTGCAAGTAGAGGTTTGAGTGGTCCCAAAGTAATGTATATAACACCCCTCAAATTTATGAATTGCCATACTTGGAGTTGCAAGACATCAAGTGAAGGTAGGGGTAGTTGGTTCAAGACTAGAAATGGTTGGTGATTTTTTTTTAAAGAGAGGCCTTCACCATTTTGTACATTTTGTGATTCAACATAAAGGGTGTGTTGAATTTTCAAAGGCAATTAATAATCTTCTTTGTCTAGTTATGTGTACTCATTGAGTTATTTTGTTTGTAGGGAAATATATATTGGTTATTATTGTAATAAAATCTTTTAGTTGATTGAATTAAAGTTTTGTTACATATTAACATAATTGTATCACTTCAAAATTATTGTCATCCATTGTATATCACTTAATATCTAATTTGTTTGGGAGATTTGCACAAATAGAACCATTTAGAGTTGTTTTTTAAATTTTGTCAATGTTTAAAGAATTTGTGCAAAAAATAATAATCATAAATTTCATGATTATAACTTTTTCTTAAGTCATGTCGAGTGGAAGATAAAAAAATTATGCGTATATCACCTTCCTATCTGAATTTTGAGTTTACACCTTTGCATTTCAGATAGCTGTCTGCAACATCAAAACGAATATGTTATATATAGGAGATTGGTATTTCTCAGTATGGTGTATAATACAAAATTACATAGTAATACTATGGATGTCAATGGGGCGGGACGGGGCGAATGCGGGCGAGTTGAAGTGAGTTTTTATAAAACTAAGGGTGGGGTTGTTTTTAGGTATATATGATTTTATGTGGGTTCAAATTTAATTTTAACTTTTTTAGATGTTATAAGAGTGATAGAACATTATTTATTAAGATAATATCTTTAAAACTACTATACCATTCAAGATAGTATATGAAAATGGCTCAACAAAAAATAATACAATTTCTTACATGTTTCTCAATGGATTTGTAATTTTCTTTTTATGTCATTATCGTATTAAATGAATACAACTTAATGAAAAAGTGAATTTATTTTTATGATTTTTTTAGTATCAAACTTAATTAGAAAAAGAAAATATTAAAAAACTTATGCGGGACGGATTTATGTGGAACGGTCTATGCGGAGCGGAGTGAAGGCAGGTTGAAAATGAAAAATTTAGAGAAAAGGGTTAAAAATGCCCTTAACGTATCCCAAATGGTTCAAAAATGCCCTCCTTCCACCTTTTGGTTTAAAAATGCCCTCAACGTTTTTTAAGGTTTAAAAATGCCCTTTTTTAACAGTCGGCTGACATGGCAAATGCTGAGTCATTAAATTAGACAAATGGCTTCATCTTATTGGTCCACCTATTTTTTTTAAATCCAGCCCAACGACCCGACCCATCTATGCTACAAAAACTCAAACCCACCCACAAACCCGTTTACACATTAACCTAACATATCCTTGAACTCCATTTTAGCATGATTCTCAGCCTTTTTTTTTTAGCAGCCGCCGAGGATGGAGGTTTACGGTTGCAAATCACAACACCTTCAATTTGTTCTTCAGTTGACTAAGGTAATGTTTTGCTCTTTTACATTACAGAGTATTTGAGTATATGTTAAAAATCATGTATTTTGAATCTTTTTATGCTTTGTTTATATTGTGTTAGTTGCAGTGGTCCATGTCCCTTTTCTTTTATTTGTCTCCGTCTTCATTAATTTAGAGTTTTTAACTGCTAGTGGGGGTCCATGTCTTTTCTCGATGATATGCTTTATTTATACATATTATATTTTATATTTTATTACACTGAGTATTGTCTGATGTGGGCTCTCTTCTTTTTTTGTTGTGTTGCATATTGACTCGATTCAAGAATGGTTGAACATGTTGATCTGATTTTTAATTATGGGGGACAATGGTTTCGAAAACCACAACTGGTATACCATAAAAAATTGATTCACGTATGGAGAGGTTACGAAGTTGACTTGCTGTCTTACATTGATGTATGTCGAGAATTTAAAGAAAAATTAGCTTTTAGTGAAGTACGACAGCTTCTATTTACAGCCCCATCTGGTGGTTTCTATGTGATCGAAGGGGATGAAGGCATTAGAACTCTTCAGAATTTATTATCTGACAATTTCAAGGTAGTGAACTTTTTTGCAGTAGATAACTATGAAGAGGAGCTTGGGTTAGTTCCAAACATCATTCATTACCATAAATGTGACAATGTTATAGAAGTTGGAACATATTGTGATAGTAGTGAGGAAGAGGAAAATAGTGAAACTGTGTCTAGCGAATACGATAGTGAAGAGTTGGAGAGTTATAAAAAGCAAAAAGAACTTGATATCAATGAAAAGTTAGACAAGTACAAGGATTGGAGTATGGTATGACCTTTAGCAATCTCAAGGAAGCTAAACAAGTTATAGACTTCTATATGTTGTTGCAAATAAGAGGGATATTAGAGTAAAGAAAAGTGACAAAGGTAGAGTTACTTATTGTTGTGTTCTTGATTGTCCCTTTCGATGCTCGATTTACAAGGATGGGAAAGATCAAGGTTTTAAGATCAAGACCTTAAATCAAGAACACACATGTTATGAGACTTCTGAGAACAGGAGAGCTAAAGCTGGGATTTTATCTCAATATTTTAAGAAGAAAGTTCAGAATAATCCTGCATTAAAGATTAAAGACATGAAGGAGCACTTGGATTCTGTTTTGGATCTTGATGTGAATGAGTCAAAATTGAAGAGAGTAAAGAGGCTTGTCTTAGACAAATTAGATGGTAGTTACACAGATGATTATAACAAGTTGGAGGCATACGCACAAGAATTGAGGATGAGTAATCCAGGAACTGATGTAGTGATCAATTTGTCAAGAGATGCTATGGAAGAAGGCAAAAGAAGATTTTTAAGGCTGTATATATGCTTTCAGGCATTAAAGGAAGGCTGGAAAGGAGGTTTGCGACCTTTTATAGGGCTAGATGGCACCTTTTTAAAAGGAAAAAGTAAGGGAATAATGTTGGTCGCAATGGGACAAGATTCGAGTAACCATTTCTATCCACTTGCTTGGGCCGTAGTAGATAAAGAAACTAAAAGAACTTGGAACTGGTTTCTAGAGCTGCTGAAACATTCTTTGGATTTAAAGTCGGGTGAAAATGTCACTTTTATATCAGATATGCAAAAGGTATCTTTACTTTAAGTTCATTTCATCTTTTCTTAGCTAGTTTTCATGTACATTATTCTGCAACTAATCTGAATTTATGTTTTTGAAGGGTTTATTGAATGCTGTTACTAATGTATGCCCACAAGCAAATCATCGATGGTGTGTTAGGCATATTGAAGCTAATTAGAGCAAAAATTACAGAAGTGGGGAGTTGAAAAAGCTTCTTTGGTGGTGTGCGTGGAGTACATATGAGGAGGAGTTCAAAGATCAGCTGACAAAAATGGGTGAGTTGAATAAGAAGGCTGCTAAGTCCTTGGTGAGCTATCCACCAGAAAAATGGTGTAGAACATATTTTGACACCAAATGCAAAAATTTCATGGTTGACAACAACTTCACGGAGTCCTTCAACTCATGGATTGTAGAGGCCAGACAAAAACCAATCATAAAGATGCTTGAAGAAATAAGGGTGAAGGTTAGAAAATCTTACCTTTTTAAATTCCATAATATTTGATATGAACAAGTGTTAATTCTTTTAGATTTATGTATTAAGCTATTGGAATAAGTTCTAACTTGAAGAGGAAAAAGTGTTTAAAGCTACTGAAAAAGTTTTTAACTTGAGTTATAACAAGTGTTAAAAGTGTTATCATTTTGATTCCAGTAGCGTTTATGATGAAAAATTAATCCATTTGATCGCGCTTTTAATCTACTTTAAATCAAACTGCTAGTTTAGAGTAATAATCAGAATTTTAGATATTTGTTTTAAGGTGTTTTAAATTTCTGTTTTTTCAGTTCGTGCAACATTAGCTGGTTCATTTTTTTGTTTTCGATTATTGTTGTATAGGTAATGATCATGTTAAGGAAGCATGAGGCCGAAGTTAAAAGTTGGAAGAATGAGTTTTCACCACATGCAATGCATCTCTTTAATGACTACAGGGTCATTGCCCAACGATGTAAGGTTGAGTTTAATGGGGGTTGTGGATATGAAGTGACCGAAGGTGTGGATAGGCATACAATCAATATAGAACTTAAAAGATGCTCATGTAGAGTATGGGACTTATCTGGAATGCCATGTTCTCATGCCATCAAAGCATTTATCCATAAAAAAATTGACCCTATTGCTGAAATACACTGGTGGTATTCTAAGGAAGCGTATTTGATGGTATATAAGCACAAGATCGAACCTGGTAGAGGTGAAATTTTTTGGAAGATGGAGCCGCACCATGCCATGGAGCCTCCTACTTTAGCTAAGATGGTTGGTAGACCAAAGATGAAGAGAACAAGAGAGAAGGATGAGGCTAAAAATAGGCAGGGGGTTTGGTCAGCTTCTAGAAAAGGAATGCTAATGACTTGTGGTTATTGTGGTGAACCAAATCATAACAGAAGAAAATGTCCATTGGTAACAATCGTAACTTCATAAATGTGTTCCCCTTTTATATCTAACGATCATCATTTAATTTTTTTTTCTTTATGCAGCTCAATGATAAACACAAGGACGTCTTCCAAGATGAAGAAAACTCTCAAGAATCTCATAATGTGCCCTTGACAGAATCAGAAAACACTCAAGAAAGTGTATGTTTCTTCATTTCTGTTCCTGGTTCAAGTCAGATCTCTAGCCAGACCTCTATTGTAGCAGGGCATGATTCGGACCCTACTTTATATCCTAAAGTGGTGTCTGAAAGTAATTTTAGACTTCATGAAAGACTGAAGAAGATAAATACTGGGACAAGAAAGATAACTTTCCAGGGAGATCACGATGGTATATCAATACCGACCAACCTTCCATATTCACCAAAAAAAGTAACTTGGAAAGGGAAAGAAGCAATGACTTCAAACCAGTTACAAGCTACAAGGGAGAGAAAAATTGGCAAACTTAAGCCTATAGGGGGCAAGGGGATGTAGGACTTGTTTTGTATTTACTGTCTTAAGTGTTATGTAAGGAGAAATGAAACAATGACTCCAAACAATTAGTGTTTTTGCTGATTTTTGTACTCTTAATGGTTGTTACACAACTATCGTAATGACTCCAAACAACTAGTCCTTTTGCTGATTTTTGTACTCTTAATAGTTGTTAGACAACAATCGTAACGACTCCAAAGCTTTACCTTTCTAATATCAATATTGTTTAATTGTGACAGTTGTAGATTTGGTTTAGTTGTGTGTATTGTTGATTTGGTTTACTTGTCAAAAGTT